TTTCCAAGAATAGAACTCGTGATGGGCCACACTGCAATCCCTTATTCTCCATTCTCTTCCTGGGATCTTGGGCACACATGCACACACACTGAGCATTGAGTTTCAAACCACTGAGTCTGGGACTCGAACTGTGGTCAGCCACGTAGAAGCGAGTCCAGTGATGTAACCGTTACACCATCTATTGGCCCAACCTGGCATGTTTTTCAAGCCATTGGTTTGGCACTCAAACCACACAGTCAGCCACGTGGGATCCAGCCACCTTAACCACCATGCCACCAGCTGCTTCCCTCTTCTCACCTTTTTTTTTTTTTTGGTTGGCTTGTTTCTTTCATTGGAGAGGCAGACACCCTCAACAGCGTCCCATCATACTGCAGTCTCCCTTGCCCCATTTTTCCAGCCAGCCAGGATCATAGACACACATGTTCAGGTCTACTTGCGATCTATTTTTCTTAAAAAAAATATTTTATTTAACTTTATTTATTTATTTATTTAAATTAGACGAGAGAGAGAGAAAGTGAGAAAGCAAACCATCAATTCCAAGACTCAAACCATGGTCACCCAGTGCCCTTAACCACCGTGCTACCTGCCAGCCCCAAACCCGGATTTCCATGTGGCTTCCCGCACTGCAGAGTGGCGCACTACTACCTGCACCACCATGGCTGAGCCAGAACCCTCCCCACTTTACCTGCCACCAGCATCTCTGACACGAGCTCAGTAGGCACAAAGCTAAAAGAACCTCATCAATCTGTCTCCCCTACCTCTGTATTGCCCATCCGTTAGGAATGTGAAGTCCCCTCATGATTCCAACAAATAGTCTCTGCCCTCCAAAACAACAAATCATTACCTAGGGTCTAGATCCTAGCTAGTAGACTTCTCAACTAGGTGGCTCTTGAAAAGCAAGTTGTCGAGCGAGCCTGTCTCCTCTCCACACTTGTAATACACACAACCACGGACACGCACCCACTTGTGTGTGTGTATAGGGAAGACAAAGGTGAAAAAGACAGTTTCCTCCTACCCTCAGATCACAGTATGATAGGAAGAGACAGAAAGTCTGCAAACAACTATAAAATATACCTAGGTCCAGTTCAACAGGGCAGAAAGAGGAAGTGGAGTTATTGCAACAGATTCTGCCTTAGTCTCAAGATGACAGAAGGAAGAAAAAAATACCTGTTTTTCATATTAACCTCAGTCTCTATTCCCCAAAGCCTAGGTGAGATTGTGCTTTTCAGCTCTGAGTAGGCACCTGAGATCACCACCCATTTGTCCCCTTCAGCCTCACCCTGCAGACTCCAGACTCCATCCCCCTAGCATTCCTCCAGCACCCACTGATGCTCTCTCCATGCAGGTTCAGACCTGCGAGTTTTACAATGGCTTGCATCTTCCTGTCTGGTAAGTAGTTTGGGACCCAAGGAAAGGTTGTCGACCCCTTTCCAGAACAGGTTGGTCCCCCATGCCCATCTCAAACACATTCCAGGACACACCCTCAAACCTGCCCTCCTTCCATCTCCACCCTTCTTAAAGCTGGTTGTGCTTTCCCTGAGAAGCAAGCTCAGGTTTTGGTGGGAGGAGGAAAGGCAGATAAAATCAGAGGTGAGGCAGGGAGGGGCCCACAGAACTGGTGTTCCCACTGGTACTGCTTCCTGTTCTGAGGGCTCCCTCAGCCTCACTCGGGCTGGGTGGGGAAGAGTCAGGTACAGACAAGATGTCCCGGTCCTTCAGCCATTCACTGCTCTCTTGGGAGCCCTTCCCTTAGGTTTCATGTGGGTACACCAGACAAGGTGCATTCACAGCCACAGAGACAGAAGGCAGGTAGGTGAATGTGCTGAGCAACAAAATATTAAATATCAACAACAACAAAATAACCATTGACAACAAACACTACTTTCATATATAAATGTTTTTCAATAGCCCTGTTAAAATAACTTACAAAAACACGTTTCTACATGTGTCTACAGGCCACACGTTTTCGGACTGACTACTCTCCACAATTACCATAAAAGGGGTCCTGGTCTCCCCCTGAATGTAGAGCAAGGGTTTTGTTGGACAAGTGCAGAGGAAGCCTGTCCACAAGCAGAGAGGCGGAGGACCGAGGAGCCTCAGGCTCTTTCTACCCAGTTATTTTTTTTTAAAGAATTATTTATTTACTTTTATTCATTCATTTTATTTTTAATCTGACCAGAGAGATACATATATATAGAGAGAGAAAGAGGGAAAGTGAGAAAGCAAGCCACCAGGTCCAGGACTCGAACCATGGTCAGCCATGTGCGAGTGTCCAGCACCTTAACCACCATGCCACCTGCTGGTCCCATCCACCCAGTTCTGCTGAGAGGCAATTCCGCAGTTCTGAGAGCTAGAGACTGTCTTAGAGGAGGCAAAAATACAAACTTTTTGCTGGTAATCCCCTCTGTATCTCAACCTCCAGCAGCCCACTCACCAGAAACTACTGAGGTAGACACAGGTGAGGATGAGTAAATCGAATCACTGATCAGTTCAAAGTTTTTATTTTTAAATGGGGGAAGGAGTAACTCAGAGGCAACTTTGGGTATCTTCTTTCCAGTCCATCACCCCCATGAACCCCCCCCAACACAAAGCACTGCCAGTAGGGGCTGTAGCAGAGTTCCAAAATCAGTCACAGAGAGATCTGTACAGTCCTGGAGAGGTGGGATTCAGGAGTCCATCCCAGACCCCTTGTCCTAGTTAGAGCTCAGGGGCATAGGGCTCCCCGGTGGGTGAGGGCACCCGCAGCTCAGCATCATGCCTCACCACGGTGAAGAGTCCCACCACTGCCAGCAGAGCCATCACCATGACAGCAGAGCAGATACTGAACATATTCCGAGTGCCCGTTTTTCGATCACTGTCATGGAGGACAAGGAGTCCTAGGCAGGCCAGTAAGTGCAGGGGCACCCGGAACCAGTTGAGTACCCCAGCCTGCTCTGTCTCAGGGATCACTTTTCTCCGCAGGAAGCTCATGCTGGGAAAGTACAGCCCACAGGCCAATTCAATGAGTAGAAAGGCTATGAATGACTCCACTGGATTCTCCTGGCCTGGACTGGTGGAGAAAGTCAGCATGAAGAGAGAGAAGACAACGATGAGGACAGCAAGGGAGAGCAGGTGCATGGGCTGAAGGTGGTACCTCTTGGAGGTGGCAATGCGGTATAGGGAAGAGCCGAGCAGGCTGGCTGCCATGAAGCTGGAGAAGACAATGCCCAGTGGAGCCCCATGTGGGTCCAGCACAGGTGTCCAAAGGAACACAAAGATGAAGATGACACTCTCAAACAGGGCTTGTATGGTGCCCAGCAGCAGCACGCGGCGGTCCGACAGGAGGCAGCGCAGGCCTCCGGCACAGGTCTTTGAAAAGGCACGCTGCCTGTCGTAGTTCTCGCCCCAGTTGCGAAGGGCCAAGGCCCCAGCCAGAGCCAGGAGAGGGATGGCAGCCACAAAGGGTGCTACAGGCCCTAGCCCCATCCAGCTAGCCACAGCCTCAGCTGCCACACCTGCCACCAAAGCCAGCACATGGTTCCAGAAGGCAGCTCGGGCAAAGGTAGCTGGGATCCACTCGGCAGGGAAGTCATGGCGCTCCACGTGCTCATGGATGTACCAGGCTTCGAAGGCTGAGAAGAGCAGGGCTGTGGACAGCCCACCAAGTGCTCGGCCCACCAGCAGCACAAAGTAGTCCTCAGAGAGTTTGGTTATGCAGCACAGGGAGTAAGTGAGGGAGAAGAGGACACAAGACTTCTTACGACCCAGCCAATCCACAAGGGAGGAGGCCACGAGGCCAAAAAGGACTGTGGAGGCAAGACCACAGACATAGAGGATGGCAATCTGACCCTCTAGAAAGTGGTAATGTTGATAGAGTTTATAGAGGTAGGGAGCCTGGAGCCAGTCAGCAGCCAGGGCCAGGAAATACACTTGATAGAAGTCCAGCTGAAACCGAAGGAAAGAGGGATTGCTGCAGGCTCTTCCAGGGGGCTTGGCCCGGCATCTTGACAGCTCCAGCCCCAGGCAGGAGGCCAGGAGGCCCACTAAAGCAAGGTAAGCAGTCACCAGCATGGCGGGCCCCCAGACCACCTAGGGAGAGAGAAGTGATCAGTGTCACATCCATTGCCCCCTTAGCACTGTCAAGGGGCTGGGTGTCTAAGGGGCAGGCAGCTCCACCCAACCCCCCTGCCAACCCCCAGAGCTCAGACCGGAGGGACCAGTTGAGTGGGTAGGAGTGGCCGCTCAGAGCTGTCTCTCAGGACACTGTGGGGCAGGGAGGCATTGTGAGGAGAGGGGAGAGAAGTGAGCATGTGCCCCACCCATGCTGGCACAGCAAGGAGGGAGTCTCTTCTGTTCAATAATCCGGGTCCGCAAGTTCTAAAAGGGCTGCTGCTCCCCTCCACAACGCATCCTGCACACTTCCTTCTATTACCTCGCATCCTCACTGGGCAGCCTGCTTTCACCTCAGTGTCTCGTCCTCGGTCCCGGGCATCCCTCCCGTCCAGTGGGGCCTTTCGAACTGCTCCAGGGTCACGCGCGCATCTCAGACGCCCCCTCTCCAGATTACCGGCACCCCCCTGCGCCCCCTAGCCCCCGCCTAGAGCTGCCACGCCCGCTCGCGCCTCGCCCAGACCCCGTGGTACCTGCTGCCCCG